TGAACACTCATAAACTCCGGATTAAGGGTGAGAAACTCTCTTATCTTTGCCTCTCGCAACTCATGGGGAAAGAAATGCCCCATAAGAGCACTCTCAAATACAGCCCAACTCACTATTGGTGGATCATCAGCCCTATTCTTTTTCCATTGGTCGAACCAGATTCTAGCGACACCCTTCATTTGGTATGCAACTAGTTCTACCCTATCAACATCAACAACATGCATAATCTCGAATTTTTTTTGAAGCTCTTCAATAAAGTTTTCCGGATCCTCTATGACACTTGAACCTGTGAAGCTTGGTGGGTTCATCCTTAAAAACTCACGGATCCTTGAAGTATCAACCACTTCATGTCGATTGTCTCTCTGTCCAACTTGATGGGTCACAACTTGACTTAACATTTGGATAGCTTCACAGAATTCAGCCTTGGTGACCTCTCCTTGGGGTTGCATTTCTGGTGCATTAGGTACCCCTTGTTCCTCGACATTTCTCCTAGCAGGACGACCTCAGACAACTCTTCTAGCTTCATAAGGGGTCATAACGGAGAAAGTAGCATCCAGATCAAGTAAAGTATACACATCTATATGGAAATTTTTTAACATACCAGTCACCACATCCGGGGAACTTTCTTGATCAACTCTAGTTTGGAGAGCACATAAACAGTTTTTCTTAGGAGCACTTGCACCCGAACCACTTGGACTGGATGAAGGGTAGGGTTGAGCCCTATGATGAACATCTCCATCATTCTTAGCAAACGAATGACAATTTCTTATTTTGTAATCCGTCTTCCCACAACCAAAGCAAGCATTGGACCCCGCTAAGCACTTCCATTCATGATTTCTCCCACATTTAGCACAAGTAGGAATTGAAGACCTATTACCATCTCCTTGAGGTTTTGGGTTAGATACCCTCTCATTATTAGGCCTTGAAGGAGCACTAGTAGAACCTTGCCCAGAGAACTTTTGCCGAAATGGTGAACGACCCCGTCCACCGGACCTAGAATATGAATAGTTACCATCATCCACTCTTTCTCTCTTTGCCTCTCTGGATCTTTCCTTGAGCTTTTCTTCCTCAATTTATTGGACATGCACCATAAGGCGAGAAATGTTCGTGTCATGGACAAGCATAGAAGTGAGGCACTCTTTGACTACCATGTTGGACACTTCCGACACAAACTTACTCATCTTGGCCTTACAATCCACCACAATGGAAGGATCATACTTGGATAGTTGAGTGAACCTCAAGGCGTATTCCTTTATACTCATATTTCCTTGCCTAAGGTTGATGAACTCAAGTACCTTAGCCTCTCTCATATCTAGAGGGGAGAATCTGTCAAGAAAAGCACTTTTGAACCTTTCCCATTCTATAGGACCCGCTTCTAGTGGCCTTGCCTCTTTCCACTGATTGAACCAAATATGAGAAACCCCTATGAGGTGGTGAGCGACTAGTTCCGCCTTTTCTACCGGAGTCACACCCATAATAGCAAGTACCTTGTAGACCTCATCGATAAACTCTTGAGGGTCTTCCTAAACTTTGGTAATCGGAGCTTGAGGATGAGCTTGGGGAGGAACTTGAGGAGGAACCTCTTGATCGACATTGTCCCCCTCTATCCTTTTTGTAGCCCTTCTATTAGTCAAATCCTGAAAACCATCGAGCACGGATTAGGAGAAAAAATTATAGAGTTAAACTCCATGGCACGACTTAGAGAAGTGAAGAAGTAAAGTTTCCTAAACATTTAATAGCCTCTCATTCATAAATGTGACGCACTTCACACTTATGAACAAGACTCTACTAGACGTGGTTTGAGACATCCTAGAACCATTCTAAACCTTGTGCTCTGATTACCAAGTTTGTCATGACCCAGGAGTACCCCTAGATGCAACAAGGCGTATAAGACCCTGAGAGGCCTCATACAAGACACTTAGCTTACCATAACATAAAGTAATAGAAAAGGTGCGGAAATTTAAAACTTTTCAACACAATCAAAGTCTTTTATAAAACGAGTGGAAGTCAAACATCATTGTCTTAAATCATCTAACATAAAAGATAAAAATCTTTGAACGCAGCCCATACAATAGTCCAACATGAAAATAAAGACATAAAAGAGATAAAGGGGTGACCCAATTCTCGCATACAATGAGGACTCATCAAAGCTTCACTTCCTTGATCAACTAAGAACCTAGCCACAAATGTGTTAATCGGGAACGTCGGACCCTACATTTGATAAGAATGTAGGCAAGAGTATGAGTTAGTACAAGAATGTACTAAATATGATAGCTAGCATAAACAACATAAACATCATGGCTAGTCAATACAAACCATAAGCATAACCAATGTATATAAATCAATACAATAATAAGAAAGGAGTACTTCTCAAATAACCTTACATTGCCTTAGTCAAGACTTGGGTCATCCGCCTCTAGTCAACTTACCTCATGGAAGGCATATCAAGCACACAACAATCCAAGCTAATCATTCTTCACAACATAATCATATCGTTCATACTTACTTTTAAAGACATAGGGATTCACCTCTTTGACTAACTTACAAAGGCTAATGGGTATTCGTCTCTTACCTTACTTACTTTGAAATCGCGGGTACTCGCCTCCACAATCTCATCATATGACACGGGTACTCGCTTCTACATCATTTCATAGGGAGCATGGGTACTCGCCTCCATGTACATTCATCATAGTAAGAACGTGGGGACTCACATCTTGTTCAATTCTAAGGAGTATTGGAATCACCTCATATCCTTACTTATGGAGGTCAAGGGTAATTGCCTCTATCCTCATCAATTACATAAGCTTTTAGTCTAGATTCATTTTAGGTGAGCAATCCTTTCAACCTAGAATCATTCATGTGAGTAAGTTATATGCTTTGTTCAGTTATGTATGTTGTTCAGCTTTATTCTATCTTACATGCTCAATACCTTTCAAGTACTGACACATACTCTGCGTTACATCTTCTCGCGATATAGGTTCAGGTTCTCAACTTCTAGATCATGCATAGATCGGTTCCTGATCTTCAGCTCAACAACATCAGTGGTGAGTCGTCATTCTCCGAGGACGACATACATGTTTCCTTTGCTTTTAGTCTTAATTTTAGTTTTTGCTAGATTTAGCTGGGGCATGTCCCAGCACTTCTAGTCAGTTAGAGGCTATTTTCAGACATAGTTAGTTTCATCTTTAGCACTTGAGTTTGACCTTTCAGCATTTGTTAAACTCTCAGTTTTTATATATATTCAGATAGTATATGGGTAGTCCCCATCATTTCAGCTTAAATGATGACTTAGCTTCTGTACAATATTTTTTTACTTCAATTTACTTTAGTATGCTTATGATATGCCAGTAGGGTTAGCTTGGGGTCACTCGTGATCCTAGGTTCCGTGTCCACGTCCTGGGGGTAGCTTCGGGGTGTGACACTTACAATATCAAATTCCATAACAATTTTAGACTTCAAAATATTTGTGGAAGCATTTTATTTAACCTTATAAAAAGAAGTACAAAAGGAAACACCATATGTTCTCCCAAGGGACAACTTAATAACTCAGAGTCCACAATTGACGCACAAGTCAAAGTTCAAATTATGAAGTTGACTATCCAGTTTAATCTTTAACTATAAAGAAAGAGAAAAAACACCAAATAAAAATGATGACTCCTTAGTATATTTTTAGTTGTCGATTATTAACTTGACACACAAATAATACATAGATGATAATTTTGCTTTGAAAAAATATCTTGAAAAATGACTAATAGCAAGAATACATTAGAAACTAAAGTGATAAATTATCTTAATTTATTAAATTGCAAGATGAAGATCCAAAACAGGTAAGATAACTATCAATGAGAGAAAAATAAAAAGTTATTAAGACACATAACCAAATACATTAGATGCCTAAATAGAAACTCACTCAAACAAAGGAAGAATATCTTAAAAAAAATATATAGGAGAGCAACATAAAAAAAATAATAACAAAAAGAGTACTTGACAATTACAATAGAGATGAATGGAAGATGCAAGTGAGAGAGAATGGCAAAAAATAAATAAAAGAACACGGCAATTTCTCCCACTTGCGCTAAAGAATGGAAAATAGAAGAGATGTTGAAGTCATATCAATATGTGTCCCAAGGTAAGAAACTGGAAAGACTGCAATTACTACTCCAAGTGACATGTAAATTTGCAGGCATAAATTAGAGAGAGTTGAATAGTCACAATTTCCCTCAAATATGAATTGAATGACAGGAAGCAAGTATGTTGATACTCATTTTGAACTCACTCTTCTAATATAGTAGAATTTGTTCCAAGTCAGTAGTTAGGATAGTATTTATTCAACTTTTAAAAAGTTCAAGGGGTTATAAAACTCCCACAAATATAAAGTGTGTGTGCTTGAATATTTTTATATAGTTCAGGTTGGGGTGTAATCATGCATTTTCGCTTTTATTTATTTGAAAGTAAAACATAATAATTATTTATTTATGTTGAAATTATAGCCAATATTTACATTTTATTATTACTAGTAATCTATGATGATAATGAATTTATCAAACATATTCCTCAGGATGCTTCCACTTCAAATTTTCTATAAATCTCAAATAGTTAAACGTTACTTCTCAACACTTAGCCAATAATCAAATTTGTCACTTCAAAGTTTTATATATGATACAATCATTTTTCTTCCCGATAAGTTAAATTATATTTATTAGGTGAATGTGTTTGTTAAATGCAAAATGATAGTATTTAATAACAAATGTGAGATTCAAAATTTGGTTAATTTCAAAAAAATTGTTAATTTTCGCTCAGATTATTATAAAGTTGGCTTGAGATCAAGAACATTAATGTAAAACAAAATCAAACAAGCAATAGAGAATCAAATATCAATATGATTTTTTTAAGATAAACTCAAAATAGTACAATCTAATAATATTATGATCCAAATCAAGAAAGACAGAAGAGACTCAAAGCACATAACAAATCAATGGATGGTAGATAGCCTTGAAATATCACTTGCATTTAAGAGCACTCTTGATCTTGTGAATTGTGTGTGAGATGAGTGCATTTGCTTCTTTGACCAACTCCATAGAAAGAGTTGTAGCTGGAAAGATGTTCCCCACCATTTGAAAGCTGATAGTCACCAACGATCCACCACCGAACCCATTATTCATCTCCCCAGAAATAACATTATAGTTATTAGTTGTAGAGAAATCTTGAAAATAATCTGGGACTATTGTTATTCCATTTGAGAAGAGAGTCACACAAGAAGAGTCCCCTCCTTTCATCACGGTATTAATTTCTTGTGAATCAATTGTAGCATAAACCAAAAGAGATCCAGTTGCATCCATGCAAGTATCTTGCAAGATCACTCGATTAGCACCAGAATCATCCCCCTACATGTCTGAATCAAAAGAAAAGATTATTTATAAATTAACAATTAATCAAAAAAAAACTAATTCAATCATGTATCCAAAAAAAAACACAACAATTAACCACTCACATGAGGAAAAAAGAGAGAAATGTTACTGTCGACAGTTTGAACCCTTAGAAATATTGATCATTCGTTTCATGGGGACAAGTATTGGACAAGACATCCCACTGGCTCCTTATTTGTTCATTAGTGAGGAATTTGAACAAACGCTTGTGTTTCACTGGTAACCAGATTGTCTTTGTAGCACTTAACACCATACCAGTCGATTCACCAAGGTCACTAATATTCGTCCTCATCATTAATTTGGAATTTTCTTTATTTGCTAGTTGAATTATTTCCCAATAGTGAGCGGTTGCACAAACCCCCGCACAAAAATTATGCGTCATACGTTGAGCCAACATCCTTATACCTCTCTCACCACTTAAATCAACTGCCACAAATAAAGTTACATAAGAATCAATTATTTTTAATATTCAAAACTATAAAAAAAATAAATGGCACAATAATTAAACCTCTATGCATGATTACCTATTGGATCAATAATTGACTTCATCACTTTCAAGAACTAATATTGTCTTTGCAAAGTAGCCATCCACCTTTGAGCACCAAATCCCAGACCAGTCTTTATCACAGGGCGATACCAATCGTGGACAAGATTTTCATTATATTCCATGTGCTCAATCCAAGTAACCTGAAAATATTTCATCAATATTACAAAATCACTAGAGAGAAAAATATGAGCTTGCATGAAAATTAACTTAATTATTAATTAAAATAAAATGGCCATTATTGGAGACAACTTAGAAAATTCAACCATTAAATAAAAGAGTCAATCACAAGGAATGTATCCTCAAAAATGATTTCTAGTGGTCTTGCCAATAAATATGGAAGGAGGGAGTGTGCAAAATATTTAGGTCTTGCATTTGGTATGATGTGAGGATACAAGGAAACAAAAAATTGCAGAAAAATTAATGTATCTAAATATATTAATTTGAAAGTGAGCATAAAAAAATTAGACAATTAGAATTTTATTGCATGGTTACAAGGTGAAGAATAATAAAAAGAAATTCTTTATCAAGAAAGAATATAGCATGTTTTAAACAATTACTAAATAGTTGCATTACTCAGAGCTAGAAAAAAGTTGATCTTTCTCATTCCAAATAAATAAAAAATAATTTTGATAGAGAACAAAGCACTACAATGAATACATAGATCGTATTATAAAAAAAATTAATAAAAATAAATCAACAAGAATAAAATTAATAAAATATGAGCGATCTAGCGCATTGAATTTCAAAAAATATAAAGGCCTATGAAATGCAAAATAAAAAGACAATTTATTTTGAATTACCTGGCAATAACCATTTGGCATATCTTGTAAAATACAGCCAGATGGGAGCCTCCGACAATTTTCAATTTCGCTCTGTTGTGAACCTTCTTGAATTGTGTCAACAGACACATCGACGATAGCCCAGACACCTTCAGCATGTTTCTTACAGAAGCGAAGAAATTGTACTTCGCGAACATAAACTAGGTCAGAAATGATTTGCAATTCGGTTTTAATCTGCATATCATTATTTTCAAGTTGTTAGTGCATGGAATAATAAAATAAATAAGATATGTAATTTTCATCAAAATAATAAGTAAATAGAAATACCAATAACAGAGAACCGCTCTTATTTCCACCTATGCCAGTGGAAATCACATCAGTAGTATATGTTTTTCCAACAATGCATGGAAACATCTCTACCCACTGCCTTTTCAGTTAAAGCTATGGATCAAAATGCAGATACAAAGGTACACATCTTCATGACTATGTATAGCTAGAGTTATTAATTCCTGAATATCATAACATGATAGAATAAATTTATATTAGTTGTTATTTACTAGAATTATTGTTAGTATGTTTTCTAGTTTGCTAACATGAGGAAAAAAGAGAAAACTTCCAGACTATGCCATCCTAATGTCGAAACCATAGGCAGAGAAGCCGTGAGGGAAGTAGACGAAGTCGAGGCGCTGTTAGGAAGAATATCTTTGAAAGTACGATGTTAGTAGTGACAGAGAAACATATTAAGAATAATCTAGTCTATAGCAATCTGGTGCTTTCATTGTGTCAACAGACACATCGACGATAGCCCATACACCTTCAACATGTTTCTTACAGAAGCGAAGAAATTGTACTTCACGAACAGAAACTAGGACAGAAATGATTTGCAATTCAGTTTTAATCTGCAAATCACTACTTTCAAGTTGTTAGTGCATGAAATAATAAAATAAATAAGATATGTAATTTTCATCAAAATAATAAGTAAATAGAAATACCAATAACAGAGAACCACTCTTATTTCCACCTATGCCAGTGGAAATCACATCAGTAGTATATGTTTTTCCAACAATGCATGGAAACATCTCTACCCACTGCCTCTGCATATATACAATACAGTACATAGCAAAAAATAAAAATATAACATGTCAATACATACCTGTCTTCATCACTTGAAGTTAAATTTGATTGATTATATAATTTGCAACAACTAATTGAAGCACCACTAAAAAAAACCAATAAAAAGATATGTCAAATATAGTAAAAGTAAGAGTACAACTAATTAAAAAGAATAAAAATAAAAAGAACTAATTATTCACGTCAAATAAGGGGTAGGTGGTAAGGAGATGATAGTTCTTTAAAATGAGATAGAAGAAAACATTGAATTTAAAATGAAGAGCCTACGTACCTTATCCATCAGTGTATTCACCAATGCCAAACTAGTGTCAGCCACTATACCTGATGCCTTTGTGGCTTCCGTTGTGAAATGCTCAGGTTTCGTGCCAATTAATGGGGTAAACAATCGAGCATATTCCTCAATATTTAACGTTTCTCCACCTCCATCCAAACTGCTTACCCAAAGAGGTTTATCATTCTCATACAGCCTAAAAAGCTCATTCAAGGCATCCATAGCAAGATTCAATAACACCATCTTATCATGCACTACATCTTTATTAAATAAGCTTAATTTGTACGCTTGGGCGGTAAGCCTTTTAACTTCATCTTCCAATTGGTCATGCTCAATCTTTCTTTGATTCTCATCTATTTTTTCTTTACAATTGTAACGAATTGAATTTTCCAGGGCTTCCTTCATTACAATATGCTCAATGCGAAACTTGTCATTTTCTTGCTTCAGAGTCTTATTTTCGTACAATTTCAATTGCGACTGATAGAATAAAACAATTCATTTTTATAATCAATTATACAAATTTCAAGTAAGAAAAATATAAATTAAGGGAAAGAAATGTGACATGCATCACCTTCATTTGGGTTCTTTTATTCTGGAACCAATTTTGCACCTGGTTGATGTCCATGGATAATTTTGTTGCAAGTTCTAGTTGTACTTTTTTGTTAGGAAGTGAATTCTTTTTGAAAAACCTATTCCCAATGGTATAAACAATGATCAAAAAATCAAAATTAACATAAGCAAATATACAAGTACAAAATAAATTAGAATTATACTTACGATCCAAGCGCTTGAATCTGATCGGAATTATGCCTAATGGGTTTCTTTCTCTTCGATGATGATTCACAACGTTCATCTACAGATGCACCACCAATTATGTTGTCACCGATAGAACTTCTCTCTATTTCTTCCTCTCCAGATCCTCCTATCACAACATTAATCAAACTTTCTCTTCTCTCATTCATGTCACTATGACCTTCCATCTTTTATTTCTGAACAAATTTAAGATTGTATCAGTTCAACTCAATATCATGCATATGTGATCATATAATACCAAAATTCAAAAATTATTTGGTTCCAAATAGTTGCAAATGAAAAGAAACAACATATCAAGATACTAGAACAAGAGAATTATTTGGTTCCAAATAATTGCATAACGAAGTGAAAAAAATATTTTATTGAAGCAATATATATTCAGAAAGAGTTAAACTCATGTAGTAACATAAATGAAGCGTCTAGTTATAGTGAAATGTGGTAGTAGTTAGTAATTACGAATCTATAGAATAACTCCATTTCCATTACTATATATTTTTTACCAATGAAAACTTCAAAAATTATTTTAAAAATACAAATCAAACTCAATTGACCTATCCACATCTGTCATTATAACAAATTTAAGTTAGGTCTTATGCTTTTTAGGAGTGTATTAAGTCATATCTAAAACATCTAATGCGATGTAAAATATAGAATTTTTTTTATATCGTATTAGTTAATTATCTATGTTGAGCTTATACCAAATAGCAAAATTAGTGAATATTCATGTAGTCAATTCAAATTTATCTAGGGTTAACACATAGTTGTTATTATTGTTAGTCCACAAGAGACAAATTCAGTTGAGGCCTATGGATAACAAAAAGGAGAGAGAAAAGAGTGATAAAATAAATTGTAAATGACAAATTTTCAAGAAAAGGATGGTAGAAAAATCTATTCTAAATTCACACCAAATGATATTTTAAAAACAGAAAACACTTTTTATCAAAATATTCTTTTTTCATGAAACCTAAAATTTGAAACCCCATATATTTCAATTTATATTTCATCCTGTCCCTAAAGAAATTTCAAATATCTTTGACTAAAGATGAAAAAGAATTTCAAAGATCTCGAAAAAACTCTTTATTTTCTCATCTTAAACTCATGTTGAACTATTTATTATTTTATAAGATGTTCCCCAAAAATATTCCATATATCACAAAAGTTACATTGATAACTTATAAGATCTATAAACCAACAAAAAACAACCTTGTTAACTCTCCAAAGAATAAAAAGCATTAGACTTGGAGATCATTAAATGCTGATGTTTAGAATGCATACATACAAGGTATATATGGGGTAATTAATTTAATGAATTTACAAAAATCTTGTAAAATAGGAACAAAAAAGGTAGAAAAGAAATGAAGAATTAATTAGCATATAAATTACTTACATAGAATGACAACATGTCTTGCTTAGTACTTGAAGAAATCAATGGGAAGACTCAAGAATACAACTACTTGATTAACTTAGTGAAGCAATTTTAGAATGGTCTAAAAAATATGATTAGTAGTAGCTATGTATACTACAAGTTTTCTCTAGATTGGAAGGAGAAATGAGTCAACTTTGAGTTGTTTCCTACTCACTTACCAAAAGATAATGATAAAGATGTTTGACCAATTGACATAATACATAAATATGCCCTTTTAATTAACTTTATTTTATATTTATGTCCTCCAACTTTGACTGTGCACAAGTAGACACTCGAACTTGTATATAATATATAATATGGAATATCATTACTATTTATTAAATATTAAATAATTACATATTATTGCATTATGATGGGACGATGCACTGTTATTTTTTCATGAAGAAAACATGATTGTTGTGAAAAGTCATTTGTTCATGAAAGAACACGACTCATATGAAAAGTTATTTTATCATGAAAGAACATGAATCTTATGAAAAGTCATCTCTTAACTTCTATAAATATAAATATTCTCTAGAAATAGCCTAAGAAAAATTTGCATGTATAAACATAGGGCTTTGTTGTATTCTGAAGGGATTTGTTTGTATTTTTCCCAATATGTATACATGCAATATCTCTTTAAAGAAAGTTATTACACGCCTCAAAGTCTTCTTCTTCTTCAATTTTATTTCCTATTAATTTTTTTCTAACAATTACGTTATTGCTCCAAGACATCAATATTTGCTAAACACCTAAAAAATTTCTATATCAAGATCCTTATAATTCTTCGTAGGTGTATAGATTTATACTAGGTGATTTTGTCACAATCTAAAAAAGGGATGTGATGACACTTGTCTATCCTTACTAAGACAAATTAGCCTCAACCCAAAAGAATCGAAAAAATGTAGAAAGATAAAGCAAGAACAAGATAAAAGCAGAAAACTTATTCATTTTATTAACACCCCAAAACCTGGTTGTTACGCGTACAAACCACTAATACATAAAGTGCAAAATTAAGAAATAAGTAAAAGTCTCAAGTCTTTATTTCTCAATTAGAACAAAGCATTAAAAGAAGAAATGGAGGGTCCACCGGGATGACAAGCAACTACCTCTCAACAGGTCCTTGACAAGCCTTTGAAATAGGAGAGAAAGAACAAACATGCTATACTGGGCTCGAAACCTGAACAAGTGTAGAAGCAATGAGTGAGTACCAACAACACGGTACCCAACAGGAAATCTAATAAAAAACAAGTTAGAAATTGAGTACTCCTTTCATACCAATCGAACCTCCTCAAACTAAAATATGCATAGAAATCAGCCCAACCTAAAAGTTCTACAATACACAGCTCACAAGGCTCAATAATCACAGTTCAATAGTCACAATTCAACAATCAACACGTATCAAGTACATTAATCTCAATATCAAGTAGATCGATCACAAGTAACTAGTGCATCAATCACAGTTAACAAATATGTCAAACATAAGCATCAAATCATAATAATCAAACTCTTGCCGGAATCATTTCCCTTCGAAATAATATCATTAATCAGAACCATTTTCCATCGGCTTTATAACCTATCACTAGCCGAAACCATTTTTCATTGTCTTTATATCATATCATTAGCTGGAACCATTTTCCATTGGCGTTGTATCACTAGTTGGAACCATTTCTCATTGGTTTTGTACCACTAGCCAAAACAATTTCTCTTCAGCTTTGTATCACTAGCCAGAACCATTTTTCATTGATTTATATCATATCACTAGCCGAAATCATTTCCCATCGGCTCTATATCATGTGACTAGTCGAAATCATATTCCATCGACTTTATATCAAACACCTCATCATGGTGTACAACAATCAATGCACATAAGAAAATTCTGTAGCGACCCGAGCCGTCGTTATTTAGGAAAACAAAAATTTGGGAAAAGTCTGTGCCATCGTCCCGCTAGGGCGGACCATATGCCTTTAGGGCGGCGACGCTAGGGCGGGATAAGTTGGCGCCAGAGCAGGATAGGCGAGACAAAATGCAAATAACGTGAAATCCTATTTTCTCCTTCTTCCTAAAATACCTAATTTAGTCGTAAAAACACCCTAGAAACCCCCAAAAAAGCTTCTGCAAGCCTGGGAAGAAGGAAGAGAGAGATTCCTAGCGTGAAGATTTCGATGGATTGCGAATTTCCGATCACGATCACTGTCACAAACCCTGGAAACAAGAATCAAAGACTAAAACTCTGTGCGGCTGCTTGGCGCCCAGGTAGGCTAGGTTTTATGAATTGAGTAGTTAAAATTTGTGTTCATTGCGTAATATGTGTAAATCAATGGTAGGATTCATGCGTAGGCCTTCGTTCACCGAAAGAATTGTGGTTAGATCCTAGAAAAAAGCCTTAGATGATGATCTAGGGTTAGGTGATGGTTGTGATTCTATAATTGTGTGATGTATGTTTGTTCTTGCTTCATTATGATACATGTACGTATATTAATGTTGCATTATTGATCACACTTGTTGTAAATAAGATAGATGAATGATGAATGTCATGAATCATGACTAATTTGTATGAACTTGAAAATATAGTTGTGATTGTGATTATGGTGTGTTGGCTGGATCGGTTGCCACGTTCTAGCATAACTAACTTGGTTCGGTTGCCACGTTCCGGCATAACTAACTTGGATCGGTTGCCACATTTCGGCATAATTATGGGATAGGTTACCACGTTTCGACATAATTCTTGGATGGGGTACCACGTTTCGGTATGTTAACTGTTTGAGTTTGGGTCCAATGATTTGATGTAATTGTAATGCTTGAGGTTTGTGAAACTGTACCTTGTTCGTAATGATAATTGATGTTGTATTTGCCGGAGTTGTTGTATGGTTATGAAGGCTTATGTTGATTGTTATTCTATGTGAGTAAACTTGATATGTACCTTGATGAAAAGTGAACCGAAAAGAGCATACCCAACCGGGAGGAGATACGGTAGGAGGGAAGTCAATGTTTCAAGAATGGTTAATATCCGAGAAAAGGGGGTTGTGTGTTGTAATGGCAAGGAAGTGGGGTAGCGTACGTCATGAAAATGCTTAGACAAATTTCACCTTGAAGAAAGGGATTTGTGTTAGTGGTTAGAAAGCTTGACGTAATGTGCTATGTGGCCTTGGTGGGCGATATGAAGAGGAAGTAAAGGTATGACGTGAGCGGTTAGTGGGAATGCTTATAGTGTATTTGGTGGACTTCTCAATGTGTTAGAACAGTTAGGCTATGATCAAGAACCTAGTAGTAGGTTGATCGAGAAGGTGGTTAGTAGTTATAGTAAGGGTGCTAGTGTAATTCTGAGGTATTCAAGAGAGGGTAAGGGTGGAGAAGCGAGTGGTTTATTGTATGTTTCTGCTAGTTGATTTCTTATTTTATGCTGTGGGCATCGGGTTGACCCATGATGCCTACCAGTACGCGTGTTTTGTACTGATACTACTGTTGCTATGTCTTTTGACATAGTCTGGATACATGTTGGTGATGTTTCATTAGGTAAAGACGAATAAATTCTGCAGCAGCTTCTAGCTTCCTTCTGCATGGTGGGAGCTGTGTATTTTATTATCATGTCTAGTTGTACTCTTAGTAGCTCTTGTACCTGTTTAGACTAGATCCTTGAGGGTGTTAATTACTTACAAGCCTTAAAACTAATTTTATTTTAATAGTTCTTATTTATAAAATTTCGTTAGCACATTTTACTTCCGTTTTATTTAATTTACGCATATTGTAGCTATTAGGATG